ATCATGACCTGAGCCGAAGTCGGATGCTCAACCCACTGAGCCACTCGGGTGCCCCGGAGACAGAAAATTTTAAAATGCAGAGATTCTGATACTCAAGATGTCCAGTGGTGGTTAACTTCGATGAAGAACATAAAGCAGGGTAAGGGCCATAGAAAGTGGTCAGGTGAGGGGTGGAAACAGGTGAGGTGCCATCTTTTGGAAGCTGTTTCTAGAAGGTCTGTTTTCAGGTGACATGGAGGTGAACACTGAAGGTGACGGAGGGGCTTCGTGAAGCCAGGAAGAGAGGGTTCGTCTTTAAGCTGCCCCACTTCAGGCCTGGGAAGGAAGAGAATAAACAGACCTTCTTGGAATGATCTAGGATAACGTACAGAGACCAAAACACTGAGAGGTCTAGTGTGTTCTTATCCTAATCAGTTTTCAGCCTCACTGTTGTGAACATCTTTTTTATTTTTATTTTTTTAGATTTTTTTAAAAAGTTTATTTTTGAGAGAGAGAGAGAGAGATTGAGAGAGCGTGCACAAGTGAGGGAGGGGCAGAGAGAAGGAGACACAGAATCCGAAGCAGGCTTCAGGCTCTGAGCTGTCAGCAGAGGGCCCAACGCGGGGCTAGAACCCAAGAATCGTGAAATCATGACCTGAGCCAAAGTCGGACCTCACTGACTAAGCCAGCCAGGCGCCCTATTATAAACATTTTTAATAGATAAAGCTAAAATTCAGATACAGTGTTTACCCCTCCCATGGAGTGAATCAAGCCTGTTTTGTTTCTTATATTTTTGGGAGCTGGCCTCTCTGCTTTAGTCACAGGCCTCATAGAGCAAGCTTTTCTAATTTGATCATTGGATGAGTGTGTGGCCTATCTCTTTGTATTCTTTTCTTGGGTTATGATCACAGTTAGTGTTAAACTACTACATGCTGCCTAATCACACACGAGGATTTGGTCACCCACATAAACATGATGCTGTTGTGAGTTCATTTTTCTATTTAGAGAAGCACGTCAGCTAGAAATACCTCCAGCTCATTTCCCAGACGCATGCGTGCTCAGCCAGTCGCCAAAATAGCCCCTTAAGTAAGTGGCAGCTTTAAAAACCATCCAGCTGCTGACTTCAAACCAGAAGGTCAGCAAAGGAAAGTGGAAGTTGGATTTTGAATGAGCAAGGTGTCCACAAGGTTTTGACGGTGGTCAGGATTTTGGGAGACTTGAACAGCTAGCCTGGGACTGTTCCTTGGATTTCTTGCCTGTTGCCTCTTTTTGTCTGCTCTCTCTGGACATCACGATGAATGTGCAAGCTTGTTCTAGGTGTGGGTATGGAGTTTATCCTGCTGAGAAGATCAGTTGTCTAGATCAGGTCAGTAGACATGTTTTGGCCTGCGGAAATAAATTTACCAATACGGGAAATTTATCTTCTCACGTATGGATGTGTGGTTGTTTTTGAACCATCCAAAAAATGTATTTCTCACCTTTCTTCAGTTCTACCCATTTCTACCTGTCTTCTGTGTTGCCTTGAAAAGGTTATTCATTTATTTAACGTTGTATTTGTGTGTATGTGTACATGTGTGCTTATCACCATATTATCTCTAAAGATGAGTTTTTACCTGGAAATGTACAAGAATCCTGAGTCTGGGGAAAAAAAAGGTATTTCTGCTAAATCTTTTCTGTACGATTTCTAGATATGGCATAAAGCGTGTTTTCACTGTGAAGTTTGCAAGATGATGCTATCGGTTAATAACTTTGTGAGTCACCAGAAAAAGCCGTACTGTCACGCGTAAGTGTTTGATGCCCTGCCCCACCACCTCTCGGGTTTTGTTTATTTTTTAATGAGGAGCCAACCAGAGCTTCAAATCACATAGTCCAGAGTTAAATCCAAAAATCATCTTCCCCAAGGTTTTCATTTACATAGAATCATTGACGAGCCCTAAGGCAGGATTTTATGCAAAGGACAGAAAGTTGAAAATTTCAAATTTCTTACAGTAAAATGGTAAATCTATCCACTGTAACCACATATCGAATTATTAAATACTGTGCAAAACAGTGTAATTACCACAGATATACCTATAAAGCTTTAATTTTTTTCTTTTAAATAATTCCAGAATCCATTTCTGGTTTTTTTTTTCAGAAAATTTTTAAGTGGTCATTTTCTAGTTGAAATTTTTGTACGTTCTATATATTGAATTTATTTGATTTAATTTTTCTTTCTTTAAGGCCTTGCTTGGAAAATCGTGAACTTAATTATTAAGTTGTATATTTATGAATGTAAAAAACGACTACCTTTAAGAATAGTCACTCAATCATCTTGGGTAAAATACATTTCTAATTCTGGTTTATATATATTTTTTCTAGCCATAACCCCAAGAACAACACTTTCACAAGTGTCTATCATACTCCATTAAATCTAAATATGAGGAAGACTCCAGAAGCCATCCATGGGGTAAGTTACTTAATTTTGAATTTCAAAATAGCCTTTAAAGAAACTTTTTTAATTAACTCAGGTTTTTAAGTGTCTGTGTCGACATTGAACCTGCTCATTTTCTTCACTTACATGTGCAAAGCGCATTTAAGTAACAAGTGTTGCTATTTGCCTTACACACTATAGGGGCCAATACCCAAGATAATCTAGCCTGAATATCCAAGGTATATGTAATCTTTCTCTGTCTGCCAGTCTGTTCACACTGATGATGGTTTACCCGATAGGCCCTGTACGCACTAGGTGCCTAATATGTAAAATGAAGTTTATAGAGTTGGAAAATATTATAAGAGCCTTTCCTTATTTTTTCCCCTGATTATTTTGGTATAGAAAATTAGGGGCGCCTGGGTGACTCAGTCAGTTGAGCATCAGACTCTTGATTTTGGCTCAGGTCATGATCTCACCATTCGTCATATCGAGCCCAGTGTTGGGATCTGCACTGACATTGCAGAGCCTTCTTGGGATCCTCTCTCTCTCTCTCTCTCTCTCTCTCTCTCTCTCTGCCCTTCCCCCACTCATGCTCTCTCGCTCTCTCTTTCTCAAAATAAATGGATACATAAATTAATAAAAAGAAAAAAAATTAAAAAAGAAAACCGTAAACTTCTAACTCCACACTCTTAAATCTTTCTAGATTCAGTAGTTCTTAACAATTACTAGCAGCCTCTCTTTCCCCCTGGGATAGCGGCAGGTCAAAGAGGCTTTGATTTGGAAGCCATGTTTGCATAGACATGCATAGACAAGCCGTGTTGATAAGCCAACCTCTTTTGAGAAACCAACAATGGGGTTTTGTCAGAGAGCCGGCTATTGACCGGACGCTCGCGTTTATTAAAACGATGACTCATTTAACTTCTTTCCCCCTGCCCCACAGAAGTTGCTCTGCGGGATGGAGCTGGCAACTTTCTAAAATTAGAAACTTGCACATGAGGGGGAAGACTGTCTGTGATCTGCCCTCCGCATGTCCCCTCAGCTCATACTGCCTCTCCTGCCTGGGCAGGCTCCCCTTCTCCACAGGAAGACCTGTGTTAGATGGAACCTCCCCGATGCCCACTGCCACGTGGCTTATTTCACTAAATGCTTTGCACTGATTGTGAGCTTATTTCTTAGCAGGCTTAGATAACATTTACTCCACAGTCATTTAATTCATTTAGTACACGCCACAATCTGACAAAGTAAGTACGATGATCATCCCCTTCTGCTGAGGAACCTGAGGTGCAGAGTGGCTCACACATGCCTGATCTCGAAGAATTCGCAAGCAATCCTAGATGGCCGAGAGGGTTAATTCTCGGAGGATCTTGTTTTCATCTCCTCATGGCTCAGGGCAGCTCCACAAAACTACAGTAAATACAGAGCGTTGCTCCTACTGAAACAGTGCCACGCATTCTTCTAGGCTCTTTATCCATCTTACCTTGTTTTTTTGTTTTGTTTTGTTTTTTTCACAAGAATCCCCTGTAATATTATCATCTTGCAGCCGGGGAGGCTGAGGCTCAGAGAGGTTGAGTAACTTGGGCGGTTTTACCCAGCTAGTTGAGTGGGTACAAATCCGGGTCTGTCTGACTTTAGAACCCGTATCTTAAACAGCTCCATTGGCCTAGCGTTGCGTACCTAGAGGGGAGCAAACTGTCCGGAAGGAAGAAGGGACTTGTTTATGTTTACAAACGTCCAGGCGTTTCTGAAGTTGCATAGCAGAGTGCGGCAGACTAAATGCAAGGAGAAGTGGTTACACATCAGATGGCTTTTTGTACGTATTGCACTGTCTACAGAAAGAACCGTGATATCTTTATTTTTCCACACGGCGCTGGCTCTTAACTGGCACGTCCCTGCCTTACAATCCCACCACAGGTCACACAGTATTACCTTTCTTTGAGGCGGAGGTGGATTCATTTTGTTTTAACTGTGTGTGACAGGACGGATCTGAAGGGAGATTATCGCTGGTTCGGTTTCCAGGCACAGGCAGGACGGCTGTGAACTTCCCAGGATGCCCGTGTGTGCGCGTTCGTTTACATCTGTGCGAATATGTGTGTCTGTGTATAAAGATGTATGTGTGCGTGTGGGGAGTGTATATACGTGTGTCTGTATGTGTGAATCGTGCACGGGCATACACACGCGTGTATGTGATGCGTGTGTACACATATGTGCGTGTACGTGTATGTGTGTGCCTATGTGTATGTGTGAGCGGTGTGTGTGTGTGCATGTGTACGTCTCTGTATATCTGCGTGTTTATGGTGTGTGTGTGCGCGTGCATATGTGCACATGCGCGTGTGCGTGTGTGTGTGTGTGTGTGTGTGTGTGTGTGTGTGTTATGCCCAGTAATTGCCTGCTGAGGTCACTTTCTCCTGCTTCCCCACCAGCAAAAATTTCAGAGGGACGGCAGCAGTGTCCCTTCTGGGCCCTGGATCTTATAGCCACCTTGGGAAGTGGGATGGATTACTTTCTTACCCTCTTGCATCTTTGAGAGACTTTGCCCACTGAATAAAAACCAAATTCGTTGTACATGTGCTAAAAGAAAAAAAAGAACAAAAGGGGTGCTGGGGTGATGGTGATGAAGGAGGAAAGTAAAGATTTTGAATAGGCATTTGGAGCAGGTTGACATTTTTGTGCTTCCTAAATATCTCCCTTTTAAAAATAAATAAATAAACGTTTGAGACACCATTTCCTGTTTGGCAGGCGTGAATGGGATTTTTAGGAGAATAAAACATCTAGATTCTCTTTTATTCAGAGAGTAGACTTTAGCTCTTAATGCTTCCTTACCTCACTAGTGACACCTATGGCCTTTTTCCTCTTCCTACTTCCTTAGAATGATCTGGAATCTCATGAAAAGTCTCCAGAGAAGCAGGCACTCCCCGGTGATGGATTTGTCCTGTGGGTGGAGGACGGCAGATAAGGCTTTCTGTCTATCTTGGTCACACGATTCTGATTCCTTATGTCAGTGGCTCTCAAGGAGGGCAGTTTTACCCCTCGGGGGACATTTGTGATGTCTGTGGACCGTTTAGAGTGTCACAACTGTCAGAGAAGGGTACTGTTGGCATCCGATGGGTAAGGAGCAGGTATGCCACTAACCATCCTGCAATGCACAAGGCAGTCCCCGCAAAAAAGAGATACCTGGCCCCAGATACCAGTAGCGCTGCTATGCGGAACCCCTGCCTTACATTCACGGGATGTTTGTGGTAGTTTCTCAAAATCCAGGGAAGAAACAGGGAAAATGCTCTCAATTTATATATTTACAGATACACGTATTGGAGCTGCACTCACTAGGCAGTAGCAAGCCTAGAAAGTCCATGAAAGAAAGTGCTCTTAATATGGAAATGGAATTCCCACCTTCTAAACCTGGCTCTGATTACCCATTGAATGATTTTAGTAAGGTCATTTCTTTCCTTTCCGTTTCTTTCTTCAGCTGCAAAATTAATGATTTACACTTCAGCTTGTTAAAATTGCAGATTTCTGGGCCCCCTTTAGACGTCATAAATTACGATATCTGGGTTTGGACCTAAGATCTTTCGAGTTTTCCTTTTATGGTTAGTCCTGCTTAGGTTCTCCGTAAGAAATCTTTGCCCCTCCCGAGGCTGTGAAGATACTGTTGAGACGTCGGTTCTGCCCAAGGTGATCTACATGTTCAGTGCAATCCCAATCGAAATCCTGGTGGTTTTTGTAGAAAAAAAGGATTTTTTTTGACGAAAGGATTCTAAAAATTGACCTGAACGCACAAAGGTTCTAGAATAGCCGAGAAATCCTGAAGAACAAAATCGAAGAACTTCAGCCACGAGATTTCAAGACTTACTACAAAAGTAGTTGTAATCAACTTGGTGTAGTATTGGCATAAGAAGAGACAGACTAGCAGAATACAATCCAAGGTCCAGAAATAGGGCTGCACATACATGGTCACTTGAATTTATAACGAACATACCACTGGAAGTCAGTGTAGCAAGGACAACCTTTTTTTCTTTTTTAAAGTTTATTTTGAGAGACGAAGGGCACACACGCGAGAGCCGGGTAGGGGCAGAGAGAGGATCCCAAGCAGGCTCTGCACTGTCAGCTGCAGAGCCCAATTTGGGGCTGGATCTCATGAACTGTGAGATCATGACCGGAGCCGAGATCAAGAGCCCGACGCCTAACCGACTGAGCCAGGTGCCCTGAGGACGATCTTTTAATAAAAGGCCATGGGATTATTTGGATATTTGTGTGGAAAAAAAATGAACCTGGGTACCTACTTCACACCCATACACAAAAATTAACTTCAGGTGTATTATAGGTCAAGCTCAAGATAACAAAGGTAAAACGATAAAGCGTAGGAGAACATGTACACGAATCTGGGGAGCCAACGTTTTAACAAGCTCCCCGGGTGACTGTTGCACAGACTGAAGTTAAGAGCCACTAGTCTCGTGTCTAGTGTTTCTGATGTTACTCTAACCTGCATACTTGGTGTTGTGTGAGACGTTCATAGGGACTTGCAGTCTTTTTAATTGCACTGCTAAATAGGGCTTTGCACACGACAGGTGCTCTGCACAAGCCACCTGGCTGGTGGCACAGGTGAAGCCACAGTGATACAGTGCGTGTTGCCATCCACTTATGCTGCTTTGTGGGCGAGATTTAGCGAAATCCCTCCGACTTAACTACAGATTTCTTATTTTCCTTCTCTTCTCTGATGAAAACATTACCGCGTTACTGACAACGTCTTCATTGTGCAGGTGGACGACCAGGATGATAGTGAACGGTTTAAATCGGTTTTTCACTGGGACATGAAATCCAGGGATGGGGCAGATGCAGCTAACAGGCAACCCCTGGTGAATGAGGTGAGAGAAGAGGTATGAAGGGGTCTGGAAGAAGGGAAAAGAACGGCACGCTCTGCGAATGAGATGCATTATTATTATTTCTGAATGTTTATTTAATTTTGAGAGAGAGCATGTATGTGTGTGCACGCGCTGGGGAGGGGCAGAGAGAGAGGGAGAGAGAGAATCCCAGGCAGGCTACGCACGGTCAGCATGGAGCCCAACGTGGGGCCTGATCCCATGAACTGGGAGATCATGATCTGAGTGGAAATCAAGAGTCGGACACTTAACTCACTGGGCCACCCAGGCGCCCTGAGATGCACCTTTATTTTTACTTCTAGAGGAATTGATTAGGCTTTCGTTCACCCAGTTTGTGATTGCAGCTGTCTACAGAGGACATCCATCAACAGGCCATGGGGTCATCTCTACCATATCTGCTCCCAGTCCAAACTCACTAGTCAGTTTGTTGCTTCCAACCACGGTGTTTCTGTCCCTGGGAACAACCACCCAGGCTGGAAACCACGGCTGCCCTTTCTCCCTCTGATACGCCACTCAGCTCCACCCTTTCCCTGCATTTCACTCTCCCTGCTCTGATCCACATCATCTCCTGTCGAGTGACATTGGTCACACATCACTTTTTGGGTAGCCCTAACTTACCCTTCCTACCACCTGAGAATTTATGCTCACTCTCTATGGAGAGTCTTCTTTCAAAATTCCTCAGCAATTTACTTTTTAAAACAAGTTTTAATGTTTATTTATTTTTGAGAGAGAGAGACAGAGACAGAGCATGAGCATGGGAGGGGCAGAGAGAGAGAGAGGGAGACACAGAATCCGAAGCAGGCTCCAGGCTCTGAACTGTCAGCGCAGAACCCGACTCAGGGCTCGAACTCACGAACTGCAAGATCATGACCTGAGCTGAAGTCGAATGCTTAAACGACTCAGCCACCCAGGTGCCCCTCAGCCATTTACTTTTAATTATACATGTGATACTTGCATTTTCCTTGTTGCAAAAAAAAATCCAACGTACAAATTAATGCCTTGTTCACCATCACCAGTCAGTCCCTCTGTAGACGTACCTGTTGTTCACAGTCTTGTGGGTATTCTTTCAGACTTTACTCATTTACAAACATGTAATTCATTTCTTAGTACTTCCATTTGGATATGACTACTGCCACTTATTGGGGGATCTCTAATGAATTATTTAACCATTCTTTGGCTTTCTCCTTTATAAGTTGAACTTCTGTCTTTCCAGATCTCCGGTTTGCCCCACATCCAGCCCACTTGGTTCCCCATTTCTTCCCCACAATTCCAATCAGATTCACCTCCTCATGGTCTTTCATACGAAGCCTGTCATTGCCTTCATGCTTTTGTTCCTGGTAGTCTCCACCCTAGGAATTTATTCAACAAATACTTACTGAGTCAATTATGTGCCAGGCACTGTTCTAGGCTGTTAGAACAGTTCTAGGCTGTTCATCAGTGAACAAAACTGATGAAAATCCCAACCTTCTAGAATGGTTGTCCGTCTTCCTCTCTTTGCCCCTGTTAACTGGCCTCAGCCTTGAAGGTTCAGCTCAGATTCCATCTTCCTGCCAAGAGTGGGGCCCATCTCATGTAGGTCGCTTCTTAAAACCTTGTGTTTATCACCAATATGGTACATTTAAGCACACAAACATTTTCTAATCGCTACCTATTTTGTATGTTGGTTTTATCTCCCTAGATAGGCCACAGATGTCTTACATAAAGAACTGTCTTCCCTTTTTTTTTTGCTTTTCTGTTCCCAATATTAATTGCTTATCCCGAGATCAGGCACATGACAGGTACTAGGTTTTTGCAGCATGTCTGAATAATGCTGGCTAATCTCACATTGCCCCTCCATAGTGACTCCCCACTGCTCAATCTGGGTACAAAGATGAGCAAAGAAATGTTAAGTTATATTTAGAACCCTTCTATGATATAAGTGAATCTGAGGAAGTTCAACTTTTTAGGATATTAGGTTATTTTCTAGGTGAGAAAAGTGAACATTTTTGTTAGCTGAGACCCACCATATGCCAATAGGAATTTATAGCCTTTAGAGAATTTCTCTTATGTTAACAGTGTATGTGAGCATGCTGGGAGGATGGGGTAGGTCTCACCAACCAATGTGTAGGGTGTGTGCTTATGCATTTGTGTGTTTCCTTTATAGAGAGGCTACTGGACCGGATATGGGGAAGGGAGTGGTTGGTGCCCAGGAGCTCTGCCAGATCCTGAAATCGTAAGGATGGTTGAGGCCCGAAAGTCTCTTGGTGAGGTAAGGGCCCTAGACATTACTCTAGCAATTAGTTTGATCGTTTCTTTATCTTAAGATTGTGGTAGACAGACTACTGACCCCTCCCCCAGAGGTTACCATGTGCCAATCCCTGGAACTGTGTATCTGTTACCTTATATGGCCAAGGGGACTTTGCAGATGTGACTAAGCTAAAGATCTTGAGATAGGAAGATTGCCCTAGATTATTAGGGTGGACCCAGTGTAACCACAAGGGTCCCTATAAGGAGGGAAGCGAAAGGGTCAGAATCAGAGAGGGGTCAGATAACAGAAGGGTCAGATAACAGAAGCAGAGGTCAAAGCCATGTGGAGCCACACATGAAGGGTGCAAGTGGCCTCTAGAAGCTGGAAAAGGTAAAGAAATGGAGTCTCCTCTAAAGCCTTCAGGACAGACCAGCCCTGATCACCCGTTTTGGACTTCTGCCCCCCACCCAACACTGTAAGAGAGATTTCAGTAGATTTTCATGTAGAAAAGGCAACGTTGGCCCAGATGATGCAAGTCCTTAATGATTTGCACACTTCTAGTCCCTCCACACACCCAGGGCACTTTGAAGAAAGTGCCTTTGTAGAAACCACTTTGGAAACTATCGTTAGTCTTTGGTGACTCAGCCTTCAGCAGATAGAAAGAAAACAGAAACACAAATGCTGTGGTGCCCGATGTCATTAGGAAGGCTAATCATCGGAAGTACTCAAAAAGTTAGAAGGGAAAACTAACGTTTTGTTGTCGATGCCATGGAACTAATTCTCGTAGACAAGTTACGGAAGAGTCTCCCGCACGTTAACCGCTGCATTAGCATACCAGCCATTGGGTCAAAGGGGTTGTGTCCTCTTTGGGTCCCCTTGGGTTGTATCAGGTTCCATAGAATTCGATGTAAGCATTGAAGGGGAAGCCCCTTGACCTGGGAAACGTGATTTCTTCAGTGTTGACAGTGTTACTCAAATCGCCAACGGAATGACACCTTCAGGTTTACTGCAGGTGATCGAAGTGTTTTTCAACTACCTTATAAATCCAGCAGCATTGGTTCTGATGGTGCTTTCAATGGCAGTTTTACTTGTTCTCACCTCATATCATTCTGAATCTCGTGCTGACATTGGTTCTGACCAGCAGGAATATGCAGAAGACTATGAGCAACAGAGGGGCAAGGGGAGTTTCCCAGCCATGATCACGCCTGCCTATCAAAGAGCCAAGAAAGCCAACCAGCTGGCCAGCCAAGTGAGTGCCCTAGTGCTGGTTCACCATAGGTTATGCTAATTTTTGTCACCAGTGAGCCTCTGGGATTCAGGTAAAAACCACTAAGAGAGTGCTTATGGACAGTAGGTGTCATTAGTGCGGTATTATGGAGACAGCTGCGTCCTCATCTTTTCCTTGCCCGTTGTCTTCTGTGCCTTGATTGGGCCACATTGGCCAAATGGAGAATAGACCAGGTTGCCTACCCAAAGACTGGACCGAACAATTTCTCGAGGTCGCTTTAGCGTTTCAGATACTGATTTTTATGAAGTGGATGGCAGATCCACCTGAAGAATAGCAAAGCTTGTTGGCTAAGAGGTCAGATTTTTGGAGCCAGAATGCTAGGATTTGAATCCTGGCTGTCTCACTTACTAGCTGTGTGACCATGAGAAAATTACTAAGCCTCTCTGTTCCTTGGCTGCTCATTTGTAAAATGGGGAAAATAGTAGTCCTGCCTCATGTGATTGTTATGGAGAGGAAGTGAGTTAGTGTTTGTTAATGTTTAATTCCTGGCACTCTCTTGGACTTGACACATGAACATTGGTGCTTTTTAAAGAGGAGCTTATAAAGCAAGCCCTAAAAACTTGCCTTGGGCTTGTGTTGAGTGTAGCCCGATGGAATAGCTTCAGGACAGCTGCAAGGAAAGGTCCTTACAAAGGCTGGTGGGTATGACCTTGACTCTCTGCTGTCTCTTCATCAGGTGGAATACAAGAGAGGGCATGATGAACGTATCTCCACGTTCTCCACGGTGGCGGATACCCCTGAGTTGCTACGGGCCAAGGCAGGGGGACAGCTTCAAAGCGATGTAAGAAATGATGGAGGCCAAGACCCTGTGATTCTCCTTTAAGAGTCTCTATTCCTTCCTTCCTTGGAGGTGGAGGGAGGAAGTATGTAGGAGGCCTCTCAGTCCCATGTGGGAGCCAGGAAGAACTTTCTGAGGTCAAGGATGGTCAAGTCAGATAGGTCAGCTAGCACAGACCTTGTGAAAACTCTTTCTCAGAGAGAAAACTTAGATAGTATCAGTAACAAATCAGCTGTATGTGATTAATCTGAAAAAATTCTGCCCTTGTCCCTGCAAATTACAGAACGTAAACTTCTAAAGAATTTCTACCGTTTGCTTTTCACAGCCCAGTTGCTCCTTAGCATAACAAGACCAAGAACTTAGTCTTCTTCTGAGTGGGAAGTTTAAGCACAAATCCATGTTCGGCTTAATGAGTGGCTCCCACTTGCCTTTGGTGGAGAAGCCTCTTTTGTCTCCCAAACTCGACTGGTGGCTCCTTGAGGGCAGAAGCCTTACTGCTCCGCCCAGCCCCACCACCTGGCCCACAGTAGGTGCTTCATAAGTAGGTGTTGAATTCTGTATTGAATGTCTCCATGCACCAGGCGTTGTGCTGGGTTTGGGGAAAAAAAAAGGTAAATAAGACGCGTGTGGTCCATCAAGCCGTAAGCCAATGATGATGCCATAGGGAGACATGGAGGGAGTTATGCAACCCCTCATCAGATTGCATGCTAGATACTGGGACTGTGGCATGAGATTCATTTTCTTTTTTTTTCATTTTCCAGGTGAGATACACAGAAGACTATGAACAGCAGAGAGGGAAAGGCAGTTTTCCTGCTATGATCACCCCTGCTTATCAGATAGCCAAGAGAGCCAATGAGCTGGCGAGTGATGTGAGTGTCTGCGGCAGTGTTTTCATGTTAGGGGAGGAAGTGGGAAGTTACCTGGACCTGGCGAGTACGACCTCCTGTCTGCTTTTGCATGCACCGTGGTCCAGGAAGTAGCTCTCCTTCAGAACTCTGAAGCTGTTTTACCAAGACGATGATCTGGCACTTTTATGTCTAAGACACACTCCCTAGACCCAAGCAGGAAAAAAAAAAAGAAACATTCCACAAAACACTTGGTTTTACTCCCCTGGCTTCTGTGCACAGAAGGTTAAATTCACCAGGTTTGTCCTTTGCCTTCGTTTAGGTGAGGTACCATCAACAATATCAAAGAGAAATGAAGGGGGTGGCTAGTCCAGCTGCTGGAGTTGCAGGTGCATCGTCAAGGGAATGTATGGACCAGTATGGCCAGGTATGTGATACATCACTTGCTTTCTGACGGTCAGTTCTCAGGTCAGCAGCCCACTAGCCTGTGACACACCGATGACCCTTTAATCCGGGGTTGGGCTGTGGTTTATGTTGCCCTATTTATGAGAGGTGGATTTTCCCAGCCAGACAGCAACCACAAATAATGACACAGGGCTCAACCTGATCCACCAAGGAAAAACAGTTTCTCAATGCTTTTCTTTTCTTTTTTAAAATAAAGAACCTATACCAATATGGTTGATTTGGCGAGAGTAAAGCATTCTCACCTATTTATTGAAGAATGGTCCCAAGGCCTAAGACTGGCTGATTTTAACTCATCCCTGTAGAAGTGTGAAAGGGATCCAAATGCACGTCTCAAAAACTATTGGGCACTTCACTGAATAGCAGGACTCATGTCTCAGAAAGTACATGTCTTATGGAGGTTACTGGATAAAGCAATATGCCAGAGAATGTATATCTTTTCCCCAGTTTCACTTCTCACATGAACTACTTATTGATGGGGTATAGGGGTAGGTTGAGATGATAATTAGAAGCTAATTTTTATTTGTATGTCCCTCTGTATTTTCTGGTGCTACACAGGTGTAGGAGAGAAAGGGAACATTATTTTTTCACCATTGTAAGTAAAGGGTATTGGACGGCCATGTGTGTTCTGGAAGATGCCATTCAGTGGGCTTAGTTGATTTTTTAAAAATTAATTGGAATGTTGTTCGAATTTTTGGTCAGTGGCTAGACTCTACAACATACATGATTTATTCGACATACATCATTTATGAAAGGAAACAACTTATTTCTCTTTAGAAAAATAAAACATCTCTTCATATTGGGGAGACACTCATGTAAGACTTGGGATGTGTGTGAAAATAGATTGTGACCCCTTTGCAAATGTTTAGTTTTGAGTTAAAAAGTCCCTTTTATTAAATACCATAAGTTAATTAAATGGTCTCCGTGCTTTAAACCCAATGAAATTATGTCTTTCTTGGTTTCATGTTTTAAGTATGTTTTATAGAAGGCTCAAGACAACTTTAAAAAAACACTTTCAAGAAATATTTGGTTCCTATATTTGGCAAAAAATATTTTGCTCTAAATGTGGACAGAGCTATCTGCCAGTACATGAGCATGTCTAGACAGATCTATGCACATCGATGAGATGTAACCTCATAGTGTCATAGTTGTTTTCTTGGCCGAAGTTTCTGGTCACGGTGATAACAAATCTAAGAATCAAAGTGGGTGTCGTTTAATAGCACCGCCAGCAACTGTTGAGAGGATCAGTCTTGGGTGGCATTTCCTTGTGTGATATAGCGGGACCCGCCAGGCATGAGTAGGAGGGAGTGAGAGAGAAGCGGACAGACAGTCAGATAAACTATAAATATCTGTAGTGCCTAAAATGCCATACAATTCATTCTTCTTTTCAACGAGTAACTGTTTTTTTAGGTTAATGGACTGTATCATATCATCAACGTATTGTTTGTAACCAGTCAATTCCCCAGTAGGATTGAGTGCCTCACTAAAAGATTTACACACCCGACATAGATACACATAAGCAGAGAAGTTAAACTAAAGCTACAAACCAAACCTACACCGTAGAGCAGAATGGGAAAGAGGGGATTACCAAAGAATTCGAGAGCCTTTCTTCTTTTTTTTTTAAGCTTAACTTTTTTTGCTTATTGCATTTGGCCCCAAACATTCTGGCATCCAAACATAAAAGAGCACTCGGACTGAACAGTTGTCATTATTGGATAAAAAGGAAGCCTGGATTTTCTAATTTGACCCAGCTGTTTTATTTAAGAAAATGTGTGTGCCATGGGGCGCCTGGGTGGTTCCGTCGGTTGAGCGTCCGACTTGGGCTCAGATCATGATCTCACAGTTCGTGGGTTCGAGCCCCACGTCGGGCTCTGTGCTGACAGCTCGGAGCCTGGAGCCTGCTTCGGATTCTGTGTCCCCCTCTCTCTCTGCCCCTCCCCCACTCGTGCTCTGTCTCTGTCTCTCTCTCTCTCAAAAATAAACATTAAAAAATTTTAAGAAAATGTGCGTGCCAGACTCTGACCCTGGTACAGAAGCAGGGCAGGCCTTTGTCTTGGAGGAGGCAGGAGGTGGAGGGAGTCATGAGCCCCAGGGGGCACATGAGGTAGTTTCACATTTGTGGGAACACAGATGAAGAAGCAGCTGATTCTGCCTGGGGCAGGACTGGGAATGAGGGAGGAGCTCCCGAGAGAGAGGGTGGCATCTGACAGGGTCTTGAAGTATATCCCACTGCCAGGAAAGGTTTATGCCAGTGAACATCATGATGGTTCCATGGGGGAGGTTTGCTTTCGTGGGAGTCGGCGCATGGTGTGGGGAAGAGGAAGGAAGAAACAGGCCCAGATTATAATAGTCTGGAATATACATTTAGTCCCATTTAGAGCCTTTCACCCCAAATACAAAAATTCAAATAGTTATATAATGCTCTTCTTGGCAAATTAACATACATTGCTGGGGAAATGGCATCTTGCATGTTAATGGGTTTCTCTGCAGAGATCTGTTAACGGGCCCAAGAAAGGCAGCATCTGAGATTACTGGAAGACAGAGGGACCTCCCAGGTGTCAGATATGACATGAGTACTCCATGTACTATGGAGATTTGTAGAATGTCCGCATTTATCTGGTGGAAATGATGAAGGTGATAATGATAATAGTTACCGTTTATTTCGTGCTGTGTGCCAGGGACCAGTAAGTAGACCTGACCACCAAGTCCACCATCTTAGCCACCACATGGTATTGCTGGGCCCTGGAGGGACCAGTGCGGGTGGACCTCTACGGCAACAGGCTCTGGGAGGTATCACTGCTAGTCCCCCCACCGCCATCCAGGGAGGGGAGCGTCACTGATGGAAGTTTTCGATTGGCCCGGCAGGGTTATTTGGAGGAATATGAGGAGCACAGAGGAAAAGGCAGCTTCCCCGCCATGATCACCCCAGCTTATCAGAACGCCAAGAAAGCCAACGAACTCGCCAGTGATGTAAGTACCTCATCGGGAAGACCCACAGGTCAATTTCTTAGAGCTGAGCCAGAGTAAAATGTTAGCCCTCAGTTTCTCTCCAAATTTCTGACATCTGCTTCTTTTGTTCAGACTCTTCGGTCACAGTTATCTGCTTCAAAGGAGACTGACACAAACAGTGGAACTCCCTTTAGGTCAGCCGAAGCAGGTGCAGATGCTGGGCTAGCCAGATGAGCGGGGCTAGAAGAGTCTTCGCTGAACGGCCCATCTAGAAACCTAGCACGTTAGGGGAAGAGCTGATTAAAATAAGCCATATGATTATCAAACTGGGTATAACCCAGTTGATAAAATGATTTTTATTTGCAGAACGTTGGCCAGCTGGCGGTCCTTGAAAGATAGGCTATAATTAAACTCGGTAGAGGGACGTGCACACATAGATCTAACACAACAACTTGAGCTTGGTCTATATATAGTTAGAAGCCAGCCATGATTTTCACACCCCGCTTGCCCTACTCCTTTACTCTGTCCTATTCCGTTATTATACCCATTTGCCAAGGAAGGTGCACTCTTGCCTCAAGAGGAAAAGTAAAACACATTACTCATTTTGCCCCCATTAGCAGGTGAAGTGAGAAAATATGTTGAAACCATGGGCAGGCTGGGTTTGGAATGATACCTTTTGGTACAATTGTTTCCAGATGTCTCTTGATGCAGAATTAAGCATAAAGGGCACCAAGTGTGAAAGGGGCCAGTAAAAATTTTAATACAAAAGGAACCGAGTAGTTTATGGATTTCATGGAGAAAAAAGTCCCTGTGATTTTTTAATTTTCCCTTCAGAAAGTTCTCTTAAGTAAATGTTGACGTTAAATGTGAGGTCATTTTGGAGTCACTTCTCTCCTGAAGCATGAAGACAACAATTCCCTCCTTGCGTGTTTCTTTCAGATAAAATACAGGCAGGACTTCACCAAGATGAAAGGGCCTGCACATTATCACTCCCTCCCAGCTCAAGACAACTTGGTTCTCAAGCGGGCACAGAGCGTGAACAAGCTTGTGAGCGAGGTGCGTGTGGGGGACAGTGGACACTGGGGCGACCCCAGAGTGAAAAATGCCACGGACCGTGGCTTATGCGCTATACGTCGTTACCAGTTCCCATGGAACGAATGCGCCGTAAAAAGCAACTCACAAGAGAGCCCAGAATCAAACAACCTGAACTTAAAATTAAGTGTCTCCAAGGGTTCAAAAGTTTCTTCTCGAATTCCCATAGGGCTGTAGACTGTCAGACATTTCAGGCAGTCGATTTTTAGGTGCAGGATACTGCCCTAGCCAACCTTTATCACGATATGTCATTGTCAAAGAGTGGACATCGAACATGAGAAAGTGTTTGCAGCATTGCACGTCTCTTATCCTCTTATAATTCTAGCCAGCTTTCCCAGAAGCTATGTGTGTCGTATGAATTCCCGTTACCTTGGAGGCTGGACTGGCTGCCAGGCGCTGTGTGTTGTTTGGGGTGCCTGGTATTTCGGAGTTTTTGAATTGCTGGGACTCTGGCAAGGAAATAACCCCTGGAGCTCCCAAATCCTCATCACGCCCTCCAGTCCTTTCTTTCACAGCAGCCTCTCACTGGCATTTCCTCTCTGGATCCTAAAGGCATTTGAGTTAGCAATCTCTTGCGACAGGGAAGAATGAGAGCTGTTAAAAGTAATCCCTTAATCAGTTATCCGCAACTGAGAAATAGATACTCAAATATCCTAAAATATTTTTCTTCTCTAACCTCAAAAGGTCCGTCCTTAACCCCGAACTGTTACTTACTCTGCGGTCCTCTAACCTTGGGCTGCTCAGAATCCCCGAGAGTGACATTTTCCTCATCTTAGCAGGACACTCACGTATTTTGGAGTCATAGATGGGTCTTGGAATCTGCTCTTTAAACAAATGTTCGCGATGGTTTTGATGCTCCAGGCCAGAGGTCCGCGAACTACAACCCGAGTGCCAAATCTGACCCATAGCCCGGTTTTGTAGATAAAGTTTTATTGGAACACCACCACCTCATGTTTGGTTACACGTTGTCGGTGACTGCTTTCACACCACAAGAACAGAATCCAGTAGTTGCCGGAACTTGCTCTCAATTCATGGAACAGTGGATCTAGATGGAACCTTTGGAATTGTTAGGTCCTCACTTTGTCGTAGGTCTGGAAAAGTAGAGTGTCTTATTCTGGTTTAGAGAGACTTTCAGGAACAGAATTGCAACCAGATCTCTGAAAGTACCATTTTACCACCCAGGAAAAACATTGTTAACATTTTGGCCTTTGTCTGGGTGAAGATACTATAACCTAGTTTATGAATATGAAGACATTTATAGATTAGAATTCAACTATATTTACGGTCTGGTGTACTTTTTTCACTTTATATCAGATTGTGAGCATTATAATGCATCTTGCATACTTTATTTATTAAAAAATTTTTTTAAATTTTTTTTAACGTTTATTTATTTTTGAGACAGAGAGAGACAGAGCATGAATGGAGGAGGGTCAGAGAGAGAGGGAGACACAGAATCCAGCTCCAGGCTCTGAGCGGTCAGCACAGAGCCCGACGCGGGGCTCGAACTCACGGACCGCGAGATCATGACCTGAGCTGAAGTCGGACGCTTAACCGACTGAGCCACCCAGGCGCCCCGCATCTTGCATACTTTAACAAGCATGTTTCCACCATACGTTTTATAAGATAGGATAACAAGTTATATATATTTTCTTGGTGAGGTGTCACAAGAGAACCTTCGGTTTCTTTTCGCTGTTATGTTTATCCCGTAAGACAAACCAGTCGTGCTCTATTCGTGGTAATCAGTCTGCAGCTGCCTCCTCCAATTACCTAGGATGACTTGGAGTCTATTTCATGACTGTAGCCTCACATCTTGCATCTAGCTACCCAGGGGAGCTCAACTAGCCAACCCACTTAAAATTAGAAGGCACTCGATGCATCTGTTAGTGGTCTCAGTTCTTATACTGCTTTGTAAAGCAACTTTTGGGCCTACGTTTTATTGAAGTGTACATACAGAGAAGTGTACAGGTCATCTGTACATAAGGGAAAGGATTTCCACAAGTGGACACATCTGTGCGCCTAGCATCCAGATCAAGAAGCAGGACATGACTCAGACATATCCCTCCCAATCCCACAGACACTTTCCCCTGAGAGTGACCACTGTCCTGATTTCTCAAACCTGTTTCGCCCCTTCTTGGGCTCTATGAAATCTTACTGTCATTTCTCTTGAAAGGGACTATATATATAT